ATTGTCTTCGGAGTTGCCGGAATGATCCTTTCTTTAGTCCTTGCGCTTCCGCGAACCTTGAAGAACGTGTCTTGGCTGTCGATATCATGTATGTTTTTATCTGCTCATATGCTTCTCTCTATCACCAGCCCACTGACTATCCTCTAGCTTTCATCAGTATCCTGGCGGCCGTGTTCGTCACTATGATTGGAATCGCTATTCAGCATCCTGGAAAGGCAGTTGAAATCACCGTCAAGAGTGATCTTTACCACGCCTTTTTGGCTGTCAGCAATATTGTTTTTGCATATGGTACGTTCCATCCTTGAGAGTACTTAATGCTTTGTGTTGTGATCCAAGCTAATAAAATGTGCAGCTGGTCATGTGGCCTTCTTCGGGTTTATTTCTGAGTTGAAGGAGCCTGCTGGCTACCCCAAGGCTCTTTACCTCCTTCAGGGAAGCAATACGACCCTATACACTGTCAGTGCTATTGTTATCTATATCTACGGCGGAAAGGATGTTGCTTCCCCCGCCCTCGGCTCTACGGGACCAATCCTACGAAAAGTTGCATATGGAGTCGCTATGCCAACAGTATGTCGCAATAACCTGAATTTCCTCCACTATTACTGATTGCTGACACACAATTCTGTAGATTGTCATTGCTGGTGTGATCAACGGTCACGTCGCTAGCAAGTATCTTTACGTCCGAATCTTCCGTGGAACCAACAAGATGTCACAGCGAACCTTCCTCTCCCTTGGTACCTGGGTCGCTATTACCGTTGTTCTCTGGGTTATCGCCTGGATCATTGCCGAAGCTATCCCTGTCTTCAACAACCTTCTCAGTTTGATCACTGCTCTTTTCGCCAGTTGGTTCACTTGTGAGTTCCTCCCCATCCAGCTTAACCATCTAGCTCTACAATATGAGAATAAGCAGCTAATAATGGGTTCAACAGATGGCCTTAGCGGCTTGTTCTGGCTATACATCAACAAGGGCAAATACTTCTCCTCCCCACGCAAAATCTTCCTCACTTTCCTCAACTCCTTTGTTTTCGTCGCTGGTGCGACAATTGTAAGTGTTAAGTCACGAATTCCGAAGCTGGTCTAGATGTTAGTACTAATAATGTGTTAAATAGTGCGGACTTGGTCTATATGTGTCCGGCAAAGCGCTTCATGATAGCCCGGCCGGCGCCAGTTTCTCATGTGCAAGCAACGTTGAATATTAGAAAGTTAGAAAGAGCCATGAAACATTCGGCAGATTTGATTTTATACCACTATTTGATGAATTATGTTCCGCGAGTCATTTAGATATTAGATCGTTCATTGAGGTGCTTGGTCCACCTGTCGAGAGACAGTTCGTTTTCTAGCGTGTCTGGAGCAATCATGTTATGTTTTAATTTTCGATGTACAAATACTATGGTGCGAGATATCAATAAATCAATCCTCGAACGATGAAAACTTCTAAAAATTTATCCCACAGCGCAACTTCCAAAGACATTGATGAGTAGTTACAAAGGTCGTGGCTGTCAAACACGATAAGGAGAAAATGATAACGTACTCTTAGGAAGTTCAGAGACCGAATCGAGGATTAAGATTAAATAGCTATGTAGAAAATGAAGTCCATAAACGAGTGACTGGTTTGTTACATGTGCAACACACAGAAATAAAAGGGGAAGTGAAGTATAATATGACAAGGGACATTAGTCCCATTGTGGCTTGAATGAAGGGACGCGCCATCTATCCGCTCTCGCTGTCTTCCTGTTCAGCGGGCTTCTCAGCCTCCTCGGGGATATAGAGACATTTGATGCTCTTAGTCTGACGGCCATCATGCTTAAAGGCATCTGGAACACTGCGAGAAGAGACGATAGAAGTGCTGGTTTCGCAGTTTTCATCCCTGGATGATTGTTAGTGTTTGCTTGGAGGGGGCTAGACTATTCATGGGATATTGTAGGGAAGGCGTACGAATAGAACTGGCACAGGGCGCCGCGGGGCAACTTCACGGACCCCACGGAGGTAACGCTAGGGAAGAATATTTGTTAATAATTGACCATGCTGTCAATAGGGAGGCCGCGGTGATATCCAAGCTTTTCGGGACTCATACAATGGATCAGCCAGAGGGTTGCACTCGGAATCAATCGGGAGTTCCTTGCGACGGCCATTGAGCCCGGTCAAGCTGTAGATAGCAGCCTGCAGAACAAGGGTTAGCACACCGTCAATTCTGAGAGGATATATTGACAATTGCTTACATTGACGTTGCAGGTGTCTGTGGTGGGCGTTGGGCCGGCACTGACGAGAGCAGCGCTCGTAGCCATAGCAAGAGCAATATAGTGAGAGAAGAACATTTTTAAAATGTTTATGTAGGGAGCGGATGTTTAAACTGTGTCTAAACCAAGTTTCTGAAGAGGGGTTTCTTCTCCGTGAGGAATATTGACTGTTGACCCGTGTCTTGTGCTGATGTATAAAGAACAGGTCAGGAGGTAAGAACGAAGTATTTATATTGAATCGACCTGGCCTCTGAGATGTCTTCTTGATCGAAAAAGGGGGCTTCAATTGACATCTCAGTTAATCCGTGAAACTGTGACTATGTAAATGCAGGTACAGATACCAATATCAACATATTAGCTGGTCTCTGTGCGTCGCAGTTGACACAATATGGTAAGTAGCATTGCTGTTCCAAACACATCATCGCACAGAAGACAGCGTTCCACTGCAGTTTAGCTTGATCAAAACCACAACTGGCTTTCCAGAGATGCAGTGTGTTCTCAAGTGATTGTTAGGGTATTGAGTGTGGCTATCCCGGCCAACTGCCAAACCACGACATCCTAAGAGTACTATTTACCCTTTACCGTGGCCTCTTGAGTATATGGATATGCATTCCACTGGATCCAATGAAGTACGAACTTGTTGCATTTAATGCCTGACAGCATTAAGTTGGCTGTCCGTTAGACAAGGATTTACCTCTCAAGTCGGCGCATTAGGCTGGAAGCAAGACTTCGATATTGTGTTAAATATGAGTTAGAATAGGCCCCGAATTTTGCTGTAAGATCCATTTCTGCACAGATAAGCTATTCCTGAACAGGGGCCCTCGCAGGCCAACTAATGGGTTTATAATGGTTGAAAGCCATTTTCATATGTTAACCCAAGCTGCATGGTAGTTTTGATAGAAAGAAGCCCTCAAGGGTAAACTGCTTCCACGCCTTAAAAAGGGGCTGTGAGCTGGACACAGCGTCGAGATGTTGAGTAACGTGACTCTGGTCAGTTCTGTCCGACATGTAGCGGAGAAGTAGAACATGTTCTCCTTGAGCACCAGAGGACCAACCTAGTTGCGCCACAGTATTGTACAGTTGTAATACTGGCTGGTTCGATTATGAAGGAATTTCTTGTCAATTTTTCCTGTTACTGGGCACATTGTAGAGGCCGAGAAAATAGGGTTAATTGCCTCTCCTGAACATTAAGCAACCAAGTGTACAGAGAACCGATGTTACCCCTAAGATTGGTAGGCTAAGCAGACATCCTTTCTGTGGTGTTGCCGGGTAGATTAACCGCGCTGGATATCATCATCAGGCTTTGGGGATGCCGTATCCAAGAAAAAACCTGCTGTTCAGCGCTAACCACAAACGAGCTGTGATTTAGATAGCCTAGTCCAATTTTGTATTCTGCATTCTTTGCCTCTATGTAGTCTTGAGGCGTACTAAGCCAGTCCAGGCCAGGTGAACATTCTCCCGAAAGGTGATTGCTTGAGATAATGAGGCAAGGGACGAAAAACTGGAGACATAGAGCTGTCCAGGCTCTGTTATACTCTGAGAGGACATCGCCTTTGGTGGCGACTGAGAGGAACATTGAGATGTTCTCGTTATATTATTTCCGTGTGTGCCAACTTTGCAGAGCAGATATGCTGCATGAAAAGAGGACCAGGGCATCTCTCGAGTTCATTCTCAACCCCGGTATAAGCCATAACATTGCTAATAGTATATCTCGATATATAAGACAGATATATAGATCAAAAGGTAGTATCCATGACGTTGATACAAAGTAGACCGCAGCGATGAAGAGATAGAGTGTGCGTGTGGAGACAAGCCATGACGTCTGTAGATCAAGCATCACGTGAAACTGGGAACATGCGGCGCCGTATAAGAACGAGCCGGAAGACGAAGGTCCCCCCGCCTTGATGGAAGAGCACCGTATAACTGTACTCACACTGTTGCAGAAGAGAAAACGGAACTAGTATACGACTACAGTGAGTGTATGGCCCGAGACTCCTAGTGGGACGTCTAGTGCGGAAAGGTAGAGTAGCAGAAGCTGACGGCAGAGCGTGTCTAGATAGCTGAGATACCACTATAAACAAAACCGACATTATGGACAAGGTCACCGAACAGATGAAGGGCTCCCAGCAGCCTGGTGAGATATTTCCCCCTAAACAGGCCCTGCATGCTACTAGATGGCAAAAGAATATCGATCTCGGATCTACATGGCTAGACATCTAGGCTAACCGCATCTCAATTAACTATGTAGGAGACGCCAAGAACACTGCCAAAAAGTTCACCGATCAAGGTCAGGGCAAGGTCGATGAGCTCAAGCAGAAGGGCCAGGAGACTGCTCAATCTGTCAAGGATGCCGCATCCAATGTCACAGGTAGTGTACCAGGCGGTTCGTCCCCCAACCGGTTCTGGTTTTTCTTTTATCGCTTCATGTTGTCATTGTTCGCGCATGTGCTAACCCGACTGACTTCTTGTAGCCAAGTAAAATGACGTCCAGGGCTTCCCTAGGAAACAATCCCGTGGAACTGGCGAGTCGACAATCTTATGGTACCGAATTTGGATGGGCATAGCTTAGGTCAAAAGGAACACGGACTTGTTGCCAAATTTTGTAATAGTCGTGGATAATGTCGAATAAATTCAATCAGACACTCATTTGATAGGGTATCGTGCCTTTGTGTTTGCTTAAAGCACGGCCAGGATCATAAAAAATAGCCCCTTATCGCTGTCAAGAAATATCACGTAACATGGTGACAGGCCAATATAAGAGGCATGCCCATTTTTGAAAAACAAGACAACTTCCCTTCTCATTGCCTTGCATGTGCCAAAACTCGAGTACCAGCCCCTCCAGCTGTAGCAGAGACGTCGTGGACGACACATAGGAGATACTTGCGATCTGGTATTATAAATATTTCGTGTATCTTTGTCCTTAGCCGCAAAAGCTTTAACTCGTCATCTTCCTCGCGTTCCGGTGGTGTCTGGTCTTCAAATGGATTACCACCAGCCAGCTCACTGTCTTTATTTGGACTTTTCTTCTTCTCATTTTCTGTTTCATGGTCGTCCTCATTACCTGCTGGTGAAGATAGAGCGGTACTCAGGGATGATGCCGACGAAACGAATGCGTGTATGTGTACAGCGAGTGTCTCTGCTGGACTAGGTTTATACGGTACTGCATCCCTTGTGGGCTGAACGGCTACAGGGCTGCTGGCCGCCTCCGAGAGTTCACCATCTTGGTCCGTTATTGACGAAGGTGTTGCCGCCTCTGCTGATGGTGCGGAAGTCGGTGACGTTCCATTTGTGGTACTCGGCGCCGCCAGAAGGCCTGTTGTCTGTATTATCGAGCCATCCTTGCGCGAAAGTATCAATGTCGACTGTACCCCGGGCCGTGATGTGAGGTGAGACAATTGAGTAGCTACGTGCTGGGGAACCTCTGGCAGCTTTGATAGCTAGCAGTTAATATGGTATGCAAGCGAATAGGGGATATGCTCTCCACGAACCGGGTTCCGTTCACTCATCGTTAGATCTTCTAGCAAGAGACCAATTATCTTCTAAACAGATATCCGAGAAAGACCGTGTTTCAGAGCTGGACGGGCAAATAAACAAAAACAACCCTTGTATCGAGAGATATCTGGTCTTTCTTCGTCTTTGCTCGTCTTGCGATGCCCTCTTGTTGTTAGGTTGCTCTACAGTTTAGCCTTTATTGATGACTAAGCAGAGATAGCGGGAAGCCAAGCCTGATAAGAACGACGCTTTACTTTTTTTTTTTTTTTTTTTAGACACGACATCGACGGATTTCTCCAGCGACCACGTTCCATTTGAAGTGCGGGAGCTGTTTCTTATACCTGGTCTCCTAGTCATTGATATATCTTGAGCTGCGGAATTGTTATCAGCTGCTTGACTCACGGCAGTCGGGCAGCAATGGGCTCCAGTCAGAAAAAGAAAAACGAAAAGAAAAAGGATTTCCAGGTAAATATGCGCGCAAGCAACGAATATGAGATGAGATGCTCTATAGCGCTCGGGTAATTAACTGTTCATAGAAAACGAAGCTTAAGGTTGGCAAGAAAAAGGCCGCTCCGTCGAATTTTACGAATACAAGCTTCAAATCGAAAGGTAAGCTTGCCTAAAAGACCTTGTGTTTAGTGTGGAGGGAGAGATGGGCGGAGCTGACTTATTACATCACTATTCAGCAATCGTTTTAAATCAACAGTCACTTTCAACCAGTGCGCCGTCTGAATCCTCCCAATTTACCCATTCGCTGTCCTTATTAGGCTCCAAGACCGATACCCAGCGCAAGGAATCCTTGTCTCATCTCACTACCGCTATCTCATCGAGGCCCGTTGATTCACCACTTCCCCGACCAGTAGGAGTTATCCTACCGCTATTATTCCCTTTAATTCTGGATGGCAATAATGGAGTGCGAGCCCAGCTTCTTAAGTTGTTGAAGGTTCTTCCCCAAGCTGACTTGGAAGGTCATGCATCTACATTTTTACCTTACCTTCGAGCTGGCATGACACACTTGGCGGCGGATATCAGGCTATCATCTGTGGAAATTCTCTCCTGGCTACTTTCTGTTGCTGGACAGGAACTAGTATCTGCAGCAGGGGGATGGGTTAAAACGCTGAATTGCTTCCTTTCACTACTTGGATGGCATACCGAGACCTCAACAAAATGGTCTTCTAATAAAACTTCATTTGGGAAATCTGGAAGCGAGGGAAAGCTAACAGCAAGGGTACTACAAATATTTGCCGAATTCCTGCAGGCAGGGATCGGCAAGCCTGATGAGCAGAGTTTATTGAAAGAGGGACAAGGAATTAATGATAGTCAGGCTTGTTTCCCTCTCCGTCATGTTCAATATCACCTTCTCCCGACAAGGTCATCTCCGTTCGCCTACCTCGATTTATTCGGCAGTATTAAAAGCGAGGAAGCGGATATGTATGAATCTCGTGAAGACCGACTAAGAGTTTTTACGCAGATTTTCCACCTCCCGGTTCAGCGGGGTCTTGATGCTGCCAGACAGGATGGAGGTGAAATCGGTCGAGTTTCCGCCGCAGCCAGGAAGGTACTTCGAGACTGTAACTTGTCCCTTAAATCGTGAGCTGAGCTGTTCTGGACCTATCTTAGGTTGGAGCTATCAGACGGCCTTACCGCTGCTTGGTAGATATTAATGCTGGTAACACCTACCAGCCAGCCAGGGCTCCCAAGGACGGACATGAGCAGGTACCGGGATTCAGAGGGGAAAAAAGAACCTGGATATACCATCTCTGTCATGCGGCTAGTTCCGTGGGACAAATAGCTACATGCCTGCAAAGTAGGTGAAAGGCTATTGCCAGGGACCGCCTACCCTGACCGAAGTATGAAGAACATATGTTCCATATATCCTGCTATCCTTAGCCAATATAGATGGCGTAAGGACTAAGGAATCTATAAAACATTCTACCATGGGTTACCTCGATAGCAATATGTCAACAGACATGATGCTTCTATATTAATGCACTCTATTTCAACATCTCTTTGTTACCACTACTACCTCTATTTGAGGAGTTACTCTTTTAATTCCCTCTGAGCCATAGATTCATTATCTATTAACTATCAATCAATGATAGAAGTGATGCCTAAAGATTCACATAACTCAATGATAATAGATCCCTATATGCAACAACAACAACTCGCATGCTACAATAATAAATAGGTGAGTCTATCAAGCCCCCTTTCTTCCCCCCCCTGAGAGCCAAATTTTCTAACGCTGGTAATCGCAGAGTAGCTCCTGCTCTATGTTTTTGACGACAGAGCTTGTTGCTGGGAAACCACAAACAAAGCTTCACATTTTCTTCTTCCTCTCCTCTCTTCTGCTCTTCTTCTCCTTTTCCCACACGGATGGGCAGGCCGCCGCGTCGAATCCTGCCGCCAAAGGCCCTTTTTTTATTCTATTATCATTTGCTATCATATTCATATGGTACAGAATCAAATTTAAGCAGCTCGTTAATCGACAACATTTCTACCCCCTTTATCCATTATGGGAGATTCCGTGTTCAAAAAGCCGCTCCCGGTCAAGCGAGATCCGCAGGCGGCAGTCAGGATGGTCAGGATGCCGTCCGAGGAGACGGAAGACGAAGAGGAGACTCCGGTCAAAATGTGGTTCAACGTCATTTCATTATCTGCTCGTAAAAAGATCTGTGGCCCTTACAGGCTAAGGAGATTGTTTTTACATAGATCAGCCAATGATGTTTTGTTCCATGTTGCTGTTCCAGATATCCGCCCCCTGTAGGTGCCCTGGCGCGCCTTTCCACCCATTTATCAGTTTGCTGATAACATATCAAATCAATTCCAGGTCAGACGCCTTTATGGAAGCTACTGAGCCACTTCCATCTTCGACTATGGCTTCACCCGATACACCAAGGCGATCGAGTTTATCTAGCGTCAGCACGGGGTTTACTTCACCAATAGACCAGGATTCACTGGCAGCCACAAATGGTATGCCAGAAGCAAGCCCGGGTACTGTGTCTGATATGTTGGGACAAATGCGTGATGGGGAGCTACTTCAGAAGGGGACAATACAGGAAACACGACTCGCAGCAGGTGCCCTCTCCCCAGCCAAGAGCGAACAGCCAAAACGCAAGAGGGAAGAAGAAAGCTCCTCTGACGACGACAGCTCGAGTGACAGGCGACCATCGAAGGTTTCCAAGTGTAGCGAGGATGACATTCCCAGTCTTCAATCTCACTCGTCGGATGGGTTTGAAAACTACCAGCCGCAGCTCGAGTATCTTCCACTCAAGGTCTATCAACATATTCTTCAAAAGCTAGATTTGCTAGATATCATTCACCTTGGCCTCACATCGCGGTTCTTTCTTAGGATACTAGCAATACATCTCCAGTCGATTCTTACCATCAACCTAGGACAATTGGCAGGACAGAGTATCATATGCCTCGGAGACGTGACTGGCCAAAACGACTTCCCTCCTGTGGTATTTACCGACCCTCAGCTTAGAAGCATCTTCGCCCCACACTTGCATAAATTGGTCGACACTGATCACCCGACGCTGCCTGAGTTTTTACGTGAATGTCGTCCCCTACTTTCGCATAGACTTCGTACGCCTTCAGATTGTGGGTTTCTCGATTCAAAATGGTTCAACGACGAGTTTTACAAGCTTCCTATTACCGTTATCGGCCAGATGATTGAACTACTCTGCCCAACGGAAGGTGACTTTTACCCACCAGGTGCTGAATGGATACTCCGGAATATCACCACGAAAGAGTATGTTTACAAGCCGAAAAACGGACTGGGACTTGGCGATGTTATACTTTTCAAGGCATCCTGGGCCAGCCAGCCACCAGCGGGGATTCAAGTTAATGTCGGAGCGCCAGTACACCGAGGTGCATGGGCTGGTCACCGCTTCGAAATAGTGCAACTGGAGCATCATGAACGCGAAATGATGGCGGAGACGACGGCTGAAACGATTGCAGGTAGCTCAACTGAGAAACCTTGGACTGATGTGACCACCGAAGTCATCGATGAGCTCGAGGAGATGTGGGAATTTGAGTGCGGCTCCTGTTGGAAATCGCTTACCCGCCGGCCTATTGGCTGAAGTAGCCAGAGTCGTTTCAGGTTATCAAACTCAACGAGTCCTCTAAAGCTCTTTGACTTACTTTTTCGCTTTCTTTGACCAGAAATAGGATTGGGTCAGTCTTGTAACTTGCCTTGCGGTTTGGACACTAGTATTCAGGAGCTATCGCATTACAATTCAACCCGCCTCTTGGCTTCAATATTCGTTAAGCCTGTGCTGCAATAGCAAGGGCGCCTCAATAGATCGTAGCTATTGAATAAGAAGGAAAGCCAATCTAGTTAACACTCCAGGGAAATGCCCTCGTACTAAAGCATATTAACGGGAGAGTCAAGGGATCATTTAAGGTCTGCTGGTAGTAGATAAGGAGCGTATATGCACCCTCAAAACAAAGCATGGTAATTCCGAGATGTCTTCCATTTGATGCAGTAGTAATAAACAGGAGTTATACCGGGAAAAAGTATTGTAAGGGGAAAAAGCATGTAGAGAAATCTAACTATAGCATAACCTCCATTCACTCTCCTGGTAATTTGATATCAGCCCACCCTTTCTTCCCATCCTTGCTATTCTCCGGGACAGTCTTCCAAGCATCCATATCAAGCCAGCCTATTCTTGCTCTATCACCAAAGCCCCCCACCCAAAACGCCTTTTCAACAACCAGCCGTGCCCAGTATCCACTATGCGGAGATTTTGGTGACCCTGGGAGCCAGTATTTGGAGTCTGGGTGGTTTTTGAGGAAGCACTGTTCGATTGCTTCCTTGTCCCCTTTAGATAAAGACGAGAGTTGAATCTCCTCAATACGTCCGAGGAGTGAAAGACGAGGAAGCCCAGCTGGCACACGATCTAGAGGATCTTCTCCCTCTGGTAGAATACGGGAGTGCTGCCACCAGTCAACTGATAGGGAAACCTTAGACCCAGCCTTTGCATTTCTAAACGTTGTACCAATGTTTAGGGCAAGTAAAAGAGGATTTCCTCGTCCAAGGATATTCGTCAAGGCAACGTTGTTATCATAGGCAGAGCAGTCGGCGATATAGTCAGGTAAACCAATAGGCGTTCCCTCGAGAGTGCCGTCCCTATAGCCTTTGGGGTAGACCGTGGAAAGGACAGCGGTAGAGGAGATAGCGAGCAAACGGCGTGCTAGTAGATGGGTTGTGGGCCAGTCTGGGATGGCTGTATCAGCTACAGGCTCATCACCATCTTCATGTAGCTCGTTGTTGCTTTTTACACGAGGAGGAGCGAAGGGCGGGGAGTAGAAGGTATCTCCGTCAAAGTAGCCAACCCGTATCTGTTCTGATGCTTTGATATCAACCTGTGAGTTGGATCTGGATTTGATAGGTGAGGACGATCCCAGGGAGCCTAGGAGAATGGGTATGGTAATAAACAACCTCATTTTGTCGTAGAGGTTAATAACAGCTCGTGGTGTCTAGTAATACCAGGTTAAACAGAAAACTAGAGAAGTATAAACTAAAGCACAGGTTTACTTTGGGTCAGAGGTGTGTTTCTTCGGTTTATTCGAGTGTTATGTGTTTGCTTCTCCTCGGTCGGTTTCTTGTCGGAAGTGAAAGAGAAGCAAACAAAAGAGGTGACGTTGAATGTTGTTATTCAAAGAGGGGAGACACAGAAACCTCGGAAGCGGAAGGGGAGCTCTTGGTACTTATCAGATCAAGATAAGATTACGCAGAGGATCAGATAAGATCACGCCACATGACAGTTAACAAGCGCCAAGAAAGCCAAGCTTTTCCAGTCTGCCTCGGCTTCTTTCTGCTGCAAAAAACAACGACAACAGAAGAAGGATAACGATTCAGATGATAACACGGAGAACAGAACTAACATAAAGAACGGCAAACAGCGAAGATGGGTGAGGTGCGTGGGGACAGAGCTATGGATAACACGTGGACTACTTATTCACGGGGTACATACTTATGTACGCAAGGTGGTGGACCAAGACAATTTAGCACTTTGCTGGGCTCGGTGAAGCAGGCATCCTATTTGCTAAATGGACATGCAGATGGCCCCTTTGACGGGGAAACGGCTAACCTTTAGGTCTAACAAACATCACCGGGCTGTGTTTTGTCCACAGCCCGCATATCTAACCTTGCCAGTGGCGATGTGTAGCCCGTCTCACAAGCATAGTCTTTGCCATCACCGCAACTTTCCGGTCACCGTGAGAGCAGATACTACAATAATGGTAACCAGGAGTATGATAATGCTGCAAAAACCGAGAAAGGCAAGGACAGCAAACCAAGCCATATCCGCCGCGTTGCCGTTCCAAGTGCGTCCTTCTTCGATTTCGCGCTCTTGAGTCTCCTTTGTTGCTGGCTCATGAGATCCCTGGTTGAAGTAGTCCGACGCTGGAGATTTCAATGTCATGCTTAGCTGAGCTTTGTTATCGTGAACCCTAATCCGAAACGATGAAAGATGTCCCTCTGGATCGTTTATGTTAACCGTTAAGTGCTGGCTATGGGGCCGCGGATGCTCTGGCAGATTTACGTCTGCTGAAGGGGGTTTGAATGCGATAGACATCGATATGGAAGCTTCGTGGATGGGTTGGTTAACTAGTTGGCTACACGATGCACCCTCGAGTTCTTCAAGAAGCAGGTCTATCTTTTATAACGCGATACGAGAGCGACTAGTGAACTTCTGTGCTCATTCCTCTAGTGACTAAAAAGAATGGGTTTCGATAGTCCTTTACCTATAACGTCACATAAGATTACTCGTTACTACTAAACTGGTCACTCCTTGGGACTTGTAACTACTTATAGTCGATGGATGATCATCTGTTTCGATCAATGAATGGGCTATCAATCTTCTACTTGGCAGTGAAAATGTGGGGCTCTTTGGATCTTGATGGTTCGCTCCATCGGATTTTAAAGTTTTGTGCCTGGCCGCCCTCGAGTTCGATGAGAACGAACCTCCATATCTCGACATTCAATCGCAACGACGAGACTGCGATTCAATACGGACAACGAACGCCGTTCATCTGAGTCGCAAGTCACTATATATTGTTAACCTGTTAGCATATTGCTTTGCAGTTATGTCTGCCTCCTTTATTGGCGCTCGCGGTGAGTCCTGACTGGGTGGACGCCAGCCATTGACGGCGCATTGACAATCACCTGCTAACTGGCAATCGATGAAGCGTTCAACCATGAACAGCATTCTGATGCAGAGGCGGAGTATGATAGACTACGAGGACTAGCCAGGCATGAGGCTGAACTTCGTGGTTCTTGTTTCGATCGGGTATGAACACCTTCCTCCCGCGCATTGAGCATCTTCTTGAACCAATCCACTAACACCCTTCCTATAACCTGTACAGTCCCGTCAAGCATACGAGAATGGAGACGGCCAGCGGGCCAAAGAGTTGTCTGAGGAGGGCAAAGAGCATGGCCGGAAGATGGAACAGTACAACAAGCAGGCCTCGGAGTTCATCTTCAGGGAGAACAACGCCGAAGGTCGCGTTGCTGCGGACACCATAGATTTGCATGGCCAGTTCGTCGAAGAAGCAGAGGATATTCTAGAAGAGCGCATTAAATATGCCAGGCAGCATGGACAGGACCATCTTCATGTGTATGTTGATGTGCAAGAACTCCACTCTCGTTGGACTGCGTTGAGACTGACATGAGATTACAAATAGGATCGTCGGCAAAGGAAACCATTCCGTGAACCACGTTCAGAAGATTAAACCTCGCGTTGAACAAGTCTGCCGAGATCTTGGCCTTCAGTATGCCACTGAAGAGAATGCGGGACGGATATATGTCAATCTCACCGGCGGCCCTGCCAACATGCCTCCCCATTCGTCACATCCGAACCAGGGCCACAACCAGCCTCACCACGGTCAACCTCAGCACGGCCAGCCGCAACATGGTCAACCACACCACGGTCAACCACATGGCCAGCCTCATCACCAGCAAGGGCATCAGCAGGAAACCCCTGCTGAGAAAATTGCTCGGAAGGCTGTGCCAATCATTCTCAGGAAGCTGGAGAAGGCTTGCTGTATTGTTATGTAGGTGATTATGGGTGGATTTTGTTTCCTCGAGTTTTTTGATGTTGGATATATAATGGGTAGATATGTTGTTTTTATTCCCTTCGTGTTCTAGTTTTGATGGAATAGTGTTTTGTTTGACAAACACTATTAGATACTGGTAAAACGTCTACCAAATCGGTTGAGTGCGGGTTGGATCGCCTTTTTGTGCCTGTTTTTCCGTACTTTGCAAACCTTGAGCCGCGTATATAATGCCTTTAGATAGAACCATGATGAAATTTATTAAGCGATTGTAAATATCGGTCTCAAATTAGTTATTAGTTAAAGCAGATAGCCACCCCACCCACAGCTAGATAGTACCTAGCTACATAAATTCCACCGCCTAATAAGCAAAAAAAAAAAAGAAGAAAAGAAAAAGAAAAATACATTATAGTTAACAATAAACATTAAAATAACATGAATCAAAACCACATAGATAGATCACTTAGTTTTCAGAAGATGTTCGTTTATCCCCACAGTCCATCAGGACGGGGTCAATGATTCGATTGAGAATAGCACGCACCAAATTGCCACTTCCAGCCTCTCCGTTTGCTTCGCTTTGGCTGGGTATCAGTGAAAAGGTACGTTCTAGCTCCTCGATCAGGAGAAAAGCTTTGTCACGTAGTTCGATTGCGACTTTGCGGGTATACTCGAAACTCCCGGTGCTCTCCATGTACTTGACAGCATACTTCTTGACCTCGTTGTCGTTGGTCTTTTGCTTGAGGATATTGATAAGTTGGCGATTTTCGGGTTGGGCTCGAATGCTGTGAATGACAGGGAAAGAAAACTTTCCTTCCGTCAAGTCTTCGCATAGGCCTTTGTTTTTACTGTAAGTTGGGTTGGAAAGGTTGAGATAGTCATCGCAGACCTGAAACATCAGCCCCATCAAGTCAACGAGAGGGACGCAATCTCTTCATGACGTTGTTAGCGATATAGAACGTGGATGGGTAAGAGGAGGGGGGGGGGAGAAGAGGAAGGGGATATAGTAGTGATAAACATACATAGGGACACTGCTCTCCGCTTGCATAAGCTTTATAGCCAGTCTGAATAGGCCGCCGGTCTTGTTGCCGACCATTTCTAGGTAGTCTTCTTCAGTGGGGCAGGTCAAGGTGTCTCTCCAGTAGAGATCCATGCCTTGACCACGGTGCAGGTTCATAAGCTCCTTGACGAAGATATTGATAGCTTCAGGGCTTTTCAGCTTCTGAATCTCGTCTAGGGCTTGAAAATACACATAGTTGGCAGAGTTGATAGTTTGTGGAATGCCAAAGATGTTGTGTGCGACTGGCGCTCCCCTGCGAAGATGGGAAGAGTCCTCAACATCATCAATACTGGGAGGTAATATGTTAGCAAAAAGTGTTGCCTCGTTCTGCTCCAGTTTCCCGACTGCTGACTATCGAGCAAGCAAGACTTACAGTAACGAAGCAGTGTGAAGCATCACGATGACCTTGGTAATTACCGCAAGGCTTTCCTCTGGGACCTGCAGCCATCGATTGTACGCTGCGATCAGCTGTCCCCGGATATCCTTACCGGGCTGGTTAACCGTATAGCTGTACGGCCCCAGCACGATATTCTCTTTTCCTGCTGTCCACATGGCTTCAGAAGGCTTTCCTCGCCGAGTAGAGAACGGTTTTCCGCGCTGATATCCGATAGATCCAGGACAAGATCTTCTAGCAGACGAAGCAAACCACTCTTCCTCAGCCGTGGGCTTGGTGACACCTGTAGAACTTGTGCGCGGAGGTATAAGATTGGGAGCTACCCTGTCCGACATGATAACGTCGTGAAAAAGAGCATCAGAAGGAGAGTGTGGTATATATATATACACTGATCAGGCAACCCTGCAAGTCAAGATGGCTCTTCAGAGGAATGCATTAGCCCAGTGGAGCAGTCGGCCCGAAGCAGCGCGTTGGAGTCGACAGCGAGGCTGGCCTTTCGTTAGAATATCCCAGAAACGTACACGAGAGGAGGCCGCAAGGCTGTATGTAATTATTGATTATCTACGGAGTATATGGCTCATGGATGGTTATGTTGTAGTTACCTAACTCTTGCAGCCCGCGGGAAATGGCGTTGCTACCTAAAGTAGTTAGTGTGAACAAGCTCAAGTTATTCTTGCCGCCGCCTGCGGAAAAAAAAGGACGCCAATGAGCGGCCGAGAAAAGGCGCACGAAACTGTCCAATGGAAAGTCGTTATCTGCCAGCGAATAAACTCGAACTAACCTGATGAATAAGCGTATATGAGCAAGTTAAAGATTTTTTTAGCGGTGGGGAAGGAATAATGCATATTAATAATTATATTGTCAATATCCTATTGGCCAAACCTTATTCCTGACAATCTGTGAAGGGCTTTTTTTTTTACGTCGAGCTATGTACTATCGGCTTCTATCACATAATGTGTCATCATCCAATCAGATCCAGATGGAGCCCCTGTGGGGCCCTCGCATGGCGCGATCGCGCTCGAGCTCAGCTCAGGCACGAACAAGCCTTCTTCGGGTCGCAACATCACAACCGCCACCGATGATTGCGAGGCGGGGGGGCATGGCTGGCCGATGGCCTCGCTCACGCCCATGGAGAGCGCTTTAGTAACAGGCAGACTCAATACCAAATGCAAGATACCCCTTTGAGACCATCGGAGATGAGCCACCATTTGCTCCGACAGATCCTGAACCCTGAAACGCCAGGTCACAGAGATAACAGAGGTGGCATATAGAAAACTGCGGTTATTCCTAGCATTATATCATACGACTATTGCCGGAGGCCCTACCAACTAGGAGATAGGAATACCGGAAGGTGATATCAAAGGGTAATGTCGCCGGTGTGGGAAGAACGCATAACATCCTCAAAGATTACATTACCTGGTTCTACCCGAGAATACACTCAAAACTGCATTCCAAGCTTCCTCCAGGGCTGCGATAGTTTACTTGACACAAGCATAGACAGGTTTTTACGATCTATTTCCTTGAGTACTACTACCGCATGGCCATGCCGGAGACCGTGGGAGCAGTCCGAGGAACAGTTCCATGAATGAATTAATCGCGTAATCCACCGCGGATTAAAAGCCATGGGAATTTCAATGAAGTCGGGAAATACATGAATCAGGATGGTTTCGAGCGGATTATGACGGATATTATTGATGTGGACGCCTCGGAGCACTCCTCAGTGGATTTTACACTAGGCGGGCCCTTACTCCTCCAGAGTAATCAGAGACAGAGCGGGACTTTAAAGGCGGAAACGCGTGGCCTGGAATCCGTTAATCAGCAGTGGAATGATATGACAAGAAGACTCTAGCGCTAGCGGAAGGAAGCAACTCAAACAACTGGCACAACAGTTGACCAAGCGAGTCCACTGGGCTAACGGAATCAAGGAGAAACGCGACTACTGCACAAAGACCAAGGAGTTCTGCAGGAATTATGTGATTATTGCATGCCCCAGGGACAAAGCGAAAAGAGGACATGAAATAAAAGCTAGTGCAATTAACATCATTGTGTATGTTGGACAAAACAGTAGCGCAGCCAATGATAAGGCCAAGATCCTGCAGAAAGACACAAGCTTAAGGTGGCCAACCGTGTAGCTTGGTGGGGCCGGGTTTTCTAGGTATCAACCGGACGATTCTTTACCGATATACCCTTGATGGTGCTATATATGGTGACTTTATCAACCTAGAATTGGCATCCAACCTAAACTGTCGCATGGATTGAAAGTTAATCCCCAAAGAAACAAACCTAGTTCGCTGATGACACATACATCTATATCCTTGGAGTTTACACTGCGACAATCCAGATAACAGACCACCATATGACACCATGCTGCCATTCAATATTTGGGGACAAACCTCGGTGTATCGCAAAAAGTTTGACCAGATCAAGTCGCAGATATAGGGCATTTCCTGTGGGCTTATAAATGAAGGCACATGTATATACCAACTGCAAGACAAGTTACTCCGGAGCCAGGGGTAATTCTAGACAATCACTTTACCAGGATGTGTTTTCAAAAGGGCCGGCATTACCATAGCCGAATGCAAGCCTCGTCACTCACCCAATTCAGCAAATACCAGAGCGGAACCGGCATATATACCAATATACAACCTCTAGGGCAACGAGCTGGAGAGGTTGCAAGAATATTCCTATGGAACCCTTAACAATAGTGGATCAGCGAGTCAAGCCACAAAGGAGAAGGTTGATATTGTCTCTCGCGCGTGGCGTACTGCTATCAATCTTGACCTCATAGCACGAGATGAAGTTGACGTAACTAGCATTGCTGTATGCATGCTCCGTCAAGTGTAATCCGGAGACTATCGGCCGGAGCTCAGATGGTGGCGTACCTCTACGTATGGAATATCAGCCTTATGGATGACTCTCGAAAATAGATACCCACCACTACAAGTTGATGACGTGCATAACTAATCGGCTCAGCGGGTAATCGAAGGTTTCCCGAAGTTAGTCTTATACAAAATGCGATACCCCGATACTAGTTAACTAGTCCAGGCAGGGAACTAGTGGATGAGTGGAAGGCTACTTTCAGCACCGGGGATCGGCACTTTGACTTACTGTCATGTAGTTCGGCCTTACTAACACCTCAGCTAAGGCAGTTACACTCTCTCACAATAGCACTATGGGTTTCCTGGCTTCCAGACTCGGTAGTCGAAAGATGTATAATATGCCCTCCATACCTGCCAGTATTTCAGTGCCCATTAAAATCTCAACTTTTAGCACTTTGGGCTGTGGTAATTGCCAGAATACTCAGAGTGAAACACGCAACAATGGGGCTCGACTATTTGATGGTGTAAGTTTGATTATCAAAATAGATATGCAAACGCAACTTGAATAACGATTTTATAGCCATGTAAAATACAATATTCCTCCCGCTCTGTTATTGACAATTCTCTATAAACCTTTCTTCACTCGCCTGGAGGTTTATAAAATTGTGTTTCTATGTACGGTAGGTTACTATTAAACATTTCCGAGGCAATGATTTACTCCACTGACTAACTGACGATGCCCATATAGATTGCTGTCGTTTGGACAACTCCATGGGACTCGTACTTGATTCGAACTCGAGTATGGTCGTATCCTGCGGATTCAGTTATCGGCCACACCATTTTTCGAATCCCCCTTGAGGAAGCTTTCTTTTTTATTATTCAAACTTACAACACCAGCCTTATATATATCCTTTTCAACAAGCGATTGATCCTTCTGCCCTACCTATCTGGGCCGATCAAGCCCTTGACCCAGGGATTATTCGGTACTGTAGCTCTTCGGACATGGAGGGACTTCGGTATTTTGTTTTTCACTGGGATCTCCGTTCTGGGTATTTCATGTATCCGCGCTGGCGGTGAATACATGTATCTCGGATTGATTCTCTCTTGGATTTCCCCAATACTGCTCTTACAATGGTGGGTAGCTAAGATACAACACCAACAGTTATTACAAGACCTTTACTAACTATATAGGCCCCTTATGTATCGCTTCCTACTTGGACTCCCTCCTGCCAGCCTTTGGGTTCCAATTGTGTTACCAACTCTTTACCTTTGGATAGTTGACACTCTTGCTTTGAGAAGAGGAACTTGGGTAATAGAAAGTGGAACGAAAGTTGATATCCAGCTCTGGGACGGTCTTGAACTAGAGTGAGCCGCGCCAGTTATTTAGCCCAGCCAGAATTCTAGCTGAAAGCTAACAATTGATCTAGGGAAGCATTATTTTTTCTAGTAACAAACGTTATGATTGTTCTAGGCATTGCAGGAATGGACAATGCAATTGCACTGTTCGAGTACAAAGCCTTCGTATCCACCACTGCTGTTGGCGAAACGCCTTCCATACCTCGGCTCCTTACTCTTTTCTTTACGAGAAGCCGCCGTTATTGTGACACGAATGTTCTTCGGGAGATGTCACAAGCTGTCACCCTTCTGAAGCAAAAAAGCCAGACCATGTATTTGGGAAGTGCAATGTTTGAAGGGCAGCTTCGGTTAGACCTCGTCGCATTGTAAGTATACTCCCTTAAACGAATGTATTCAGATAGCATGTTTTAACAACATATGTATCAGGTATTCTTTCTGCCGCAAAGCTGATGATCTAATCGATGATGCACCCAATCGTGCGACTGCACAATATTGGATTAAGCAGTGTGAAAAGGCCTTGGAATTGAGATTCAAATTAAAGGGAGCTGCACTGGACAACACGGCAGCCTATCAACAACTGACGAAATCAATTCCACCACAGCTGCATGCTGCAGTCCATTTGCTACCAGCATCTCGGCTTCCAAAGGGGCCACTTTCCGACCTCCTTAAAGGCTTTGAGATCGATATGAAGTTTGATTCCGAGAGAGGTATCTTCCCTATTGCTACAGAACATGACCTTGAAGTGTACGCATACCATGTTGCAGGAACCATTGCCACCCTCCTCCTGGAGCTGGTGTTCCGTCACCACCCAGTGTCTATCAGCGATTCTGAGCGTTTACGAGTGATATCAGCTGGTGAGGGCATGGGCAGAGCATTACAGTACACTAATATCGCCCGAGATATTGTTCGTGATGCTGAGATCGGCCGCGTTTATATTCCGAGCGTATGGCTAGCAGAGCAAGGCCTTACTCCCTCTATGGTGGTCAATCAGCCTAGAAATCCTAAACTGATACCGTTGAGGAGGAGATTACTCGACAAGGCTGAGAAATGCTACCGGGATACGCAGGAAGCAATTTCAGAACTCCCAGCAAATGTTCGAGCCCCTGTGCGAGCGACAGTTACGGTTTATATGGACATTGGTCAAGTTATTCGCGAAAATGAAATGAAGGTCTGGAACGGTAAGTTGAAGGTTTCGCGTTGGAGGCGGTTCAAAGGCGCCTGGTTGGCAATGTCATGATGGTGGTGCCATCTCAGGTCATTCAACCAGGCAGCTACCTGTTAACTAACTTACCCGGGCACTCTAACTTATATATCCGGTCGTATCTGGCTACCTATGAATAGTTTGAATCAAGTTTTGATTTACTAAAGGAGGAAAAGTATTCCAGTATGTGCAATATTGTGTCAATATTACCTCACAGATGCATAAAGGTAGATGTAATATCTAACCACAACTTGAGTTAACTATATAACTAGGTAGTGAATTATTATAAATAGAATCCACTTTTAACCCAACCTAGGTTAACCTTATTCCGGGATTAATATCCGTGTTATTAACATTTATACTTATCTGCGTTATTAAGATTATCCATGTTACTTCAACGTTTATTGTTCTCCACTAAAAAAAGTGTACACCGGCTCGAAACTAAGGCTCGCTGGAGGAGGCTTGAGCATTACATACATGTACGTATGATCAAGGTTGTGCATAAAATTAGAACTTCCCATAAGTATAACTAATTAGTACGACCGAGTAATAACAAAATATTCCTCAACCGCTTCGGCAAGTCTCAACTGCCCGCTGATTGCAAACGTCATCTTCTGAAAACCACCAGCCGTGTAATCCATAAGGTACCCTTTGAGGAAGATAAATGCGCGTTACCATACGCATAGTCTTGGCATCAATCATCCACAGCTCACTTTTGCTCCCCACTGGGGCAAATCCGTCTTCATCGAGCTGGGATTCATCAAACACAAAGGTCAGAAGCCACCCGTCATCCTCCGACACCCCGTTTGTGCGAGGAACAAAGCAGCACTCTTGTAGGTACCACCCGGAGGGCGTCTGAAATATTTTGATGGGATCGTCTGGATCATTTGAAGTCAAAATCTCCTGAATGGATCGGCTATCCACTGAGCCTGTCACCGATCGTGGGGGGCTTCTAAGGCCCTTGCTGATCAATGCCTTTACATCCAGCTTTGCAAGGCAGTCGATTTTAGTGGCGCCCCCAAGTGCCGTAGAGAATGTTCCCTTTGACGTTGAACAGCCATAAACATATTGTGTAGCTGACATGGCGAGGTGTTGGGGGACGTGAGGAAACTCGAAAGATATTACAGAGAGAGCCCACTGGTGAGATATGATATTTTCCGCCTGAGACAAACCAAACTGAAAGTAATAAAGGCGACATTCCTCTTCGATGTTCCGTAGATTGGGTGGAGGCCGAATGTTTCCCGTATTGAAAACGATGGCAGCGCTTGTCATTCGGCATGCAAGCAGATTCACAGTTGCCCCCTTATCAGTAATTCTGTCGTCCCAGGAATTGACGGTATGAAGAATGCAGCATGGTTCGGTTTCAAACCAGCGTACCTGGTCTGGTTTACGCCTGGGGAAAATACCAAAACGAGTGCGTCCGTAAAAGTCATATTCAATAACTGGTTTGTTGTAAGCCAGGTTCAGTGGGTCTAGAGAAAGAGGAAGATCGATAATGATGGTATGCTGGCGTGATACGCCAAAATCATGCATCATCTTGGCTGACTTGACTCCTGGGACGGGAAGGTTGAAAAGGGGTTCTGACTGCTCCAAGGAAGCCTCCTGGGCTCGTAAATCGGGTACAACGGAGTAATGCACAAATGGCTGGGCAAACGTTGAATGATAGACAATCAACTCGCGAGAGATGGGATCTACCTTGGGCTATATCCAGTCAGTTAAACGGTTAATAACTATACAGAGAGTAAGCTTAGTACACTTACATGTCCGGTCGTCCACTTTTTCAGAAATCCTGTGAATCCAGGCCCTCCGAACCCGGTTAAAGATGGAGATATTGAATCTTCTGGCTCTCCCTCCGCCCTCAGGCCATTGAACCAACCCACTGTATCGAGCTCCGGTAGCGTTACTCTCATTGGCGGTCCGCTCTCGCAAGTGGCCAACGCACGCCCGCTATGATAAATGATGCCGGTATTGGCCACACTGATTTTCTTAATCGACCATTTTGAGCCATTTACATATGACCAAAGGACAAGAAGAATGGCTCGACAAATGGCATAAGCTATCTTGAATATCGATGAGCTTGGGTTGATCAACGTTGTGACACTTGGAAGTATGGGCACGCGCAGTTTTGGATTCGCCCGGGAAGCAAGGAGAATATCCGTCAAAACGTAATTATTGACGAATTCCGGCTGAACCGCCTTGCCCTTAACCTTTCTAAAGAAGACACCGCTGAGCATCCCATCACCGTCAAACCAGTGGACATCCCTCCCATACTCATGGTTCATCGATGGGTTCCCCCCATTGCGAACGTACTGTCCGCCATTGAACTCTTCCGGAATATCACCGGTATAACGGCAAGGTGTAGGTGGGCAAGTATTGTGCATCGGCGCAAAATTGCCATGTACGTACCTGATAGCTAACTGGTAAACAAGGGCTACTAGATAGTAGAGGGGGGGGGGGGGGGGGAGGGTGTTCAAAATCCCACGTACATAGGTATGCTGGGAGCCTTCGCCCCTGAGGCATTCTCCTGCTTTTCGTTATCCATTTAGTGCGGTTAGTCTGGCGAAGATAGGTCTGAAGCACATTTCCTCGGGCAGACTAGACGTAGCATATATCCCTAGCGACTGCCTTCTAGCCATGGTAGTCAACCACGGATCCAAAATCTTGATTTCCCTTTGCCATACCGTAAACTACTTCTCGATTCCCTCCGGCTCCGCTGACTTGCACTGCCGTCAGCCACCATCACCCTTGATTCCATCCTGGTCTGCTCTCGGAGTGGGCTCGTCGGCTTAAGGGCCCTCCAACCTGACAAAGCACCACAACAAAAGGAAAGCCGACCCCTGCTGTGGCTACATAGGCCTTCACCGGCCAAAGATTACTGAAATAACCCTGTTTGGTAGCCTGTTTGTCTGCCCTCCTCGGGGACCAGTGCTGTCAAGGTGCTCTTATAGATGTTGGGAAAAAAAGGACCAGCGTGTCCAGTAGTGGATGCGGGTGGTGGGTATGACCAGACGATACTACCCTCTAGTTATCCGGCTGCCATGGGTCGACATCTGCAATACTTTGCCGGCAGGAAAAGCAAGGTGCAAGGTCAGGCAACTATTTAGAGCCCGGATGGTACGGAATGGCAGTTGGGGAGATCGGCTTCCTTAACGTGTGACCAGAGTATTCAGAGTAGCCATAGAAATGAAGAAACGAACTGCGATTATCGTTGGTAAGGAAGGCGTCACATATTCTCTGGGACATTCACCATATTTACTGACACTCCAATAACCAGGGGCTGGTGCCGGTGGGGTGGCTACGGCTGCTCGTCTGGCAAAAGAAGGCTTCAAAGTCACTGTGGTGGAGAAGAACGGATTCATTGGCGGTCGATGCTCGCTTATCCAGGAGAATGGCTATGTACGTTACGGCTTCGAAGATACCTGAATGAAAGAACTGACAAAAGCTACCAGAGATTTGATCAAGGACCGTCTCTCCTTTTGCTCCCGAGGCTCTTCGTGGATATCTTCAAAGACCTCGGTACTTCAATGCAGGATGAAGGAATTCAATTGCTCAAGTGCGAGCCCAACTATCGGATCTGGTTTGGGGACCATGACCGAGTTGACATGTCAACGGATTTGGCCAAAATGAAACTGGAAATAGAGCGCTATGAAGGCGACACAGGGTTTGACCAGTACTTGTCGTACATGAAAGAGTCTGCCCAGCACCACGACCTATCCATGGCCTATGTCATGAAGAAAAACTTCACAAGCCTCTTCAGCATGCTTCGGGCTGAGTTCCTGTTCTCTACCCTGCCACTGCATCCATTTGAGAGCATATACAGCCGGGCGAGCAGATATTTCGCTTCGGAAAAGATGAGACGAGTTTTCACTTTTGCAAGCATGTATCTTGGGATGAGCCCCTTCGATGCCCCGGCCACATATTCGTTGCTCCAGTACTCCGAGCTTGCTGATGGTATCTGGTATCCAGCTGGTGGGTTCCAAGGAGTAAGCCACCCAGATTTCGCATTCCTATATTCCATAAACTCACTTCCTAACTAATAACGTGAATAGGTCCTAGAGGCATTGGCGAATATCGGGAAGCGCTTGGGAGTGAAGTATCTCCTCAACCAGCCTGTATCATCAATCCAGCTTTCCAAAGACGGGCACACAGCAGTTGGAGTGAAACTAGGGTCCGGCAAGACTTTGACTGCAGATACGATTGTTATCAATGCCGATCTCGTCTACGCATATAACGAGCTCCTGCCAATCTCTCCTCTGGGTAACGACTTGAAAACGCGACCTTCGTCATGCAGTACTATTTCGTTCTTTTGGTCCTTCGATCGCGTCATTCCAGAACTGCAGCCACATAACATCTTTTTGGCAGACGAGTACCGGGAAAGCTTTGACTCGATTTTCAACGACCACACAATACCAGCCGATCCATCATTTTACGTGAATGTTCCCAGTCGTGTTGACCCAAGTGCAGCACCACAGGGCAAGGACGCTGCAGTGGCACTTGTCCCAGTGGGTCATTTGGTTGACAACAGCGCCTGGGCTGACGACATGGATTCTGTTGTGTCTAAAACCCGAGAGAGAGTCATTGACACTATCGAATCTCGCACGGGTGCTCGAGGCCTGCGTGATTGTATCATCTCAGAGCAAGTCAATACACCATTCACCTGGAAGGAGAAGTTCAATCTCCACCAGGGGGCCATCCTGGGGCTTTCTCACTCTTTCTTCAATGTACTGAGCTTCCGCCCGAAGACCAAACACGACACCATCAAGGGACTCTACTTCGTTGGTGCCAGTACACACCCCGGTACTGGGGTCCCAGTTTGTTTGGCAGGAAGTAAGATAGTCTGTGAGCAGATCCTCGAGAGTGTTGGTATCAGGAAGCCAGGCAAAGGGCTCCAAATGATTCGCGGATGGATAACATGTGGGAGGTTTGCGATGTTCGCGCTTGTTATTTTTGTTTGTGCTCTCGCTTTCGGCTTAAGAAGCTCTAGTTTACTATAGAGTATCTACAAGCAGCATCAACTGTCAAGCAGCCACGAAAGCGCCTATTTAGATCTGTGTTTAGAGATACAGACACAAGCGGACGCCTTGGCCTGACGTTGAATTTAGGTAACTTAGCTCATTACGTAATAACTAAATTGACCAATAATATTTCAAGGAAATTGGCTGGCCGCCTGTCCAATAAAAATTAAGTTTTTGAACCAATCAACTCGCTAATTAGGAAGTTATGCATAAAAAAGTATAATAAAAAAGCATAACAAATAATCAACGACGATCATCCTTAACTTCCTCGGGGCGACAAGAGAAAAATGCACTGAAACGATAAGTCGGTGTGCTCACCTAATTGTCAGATATAGAGCGACAAGATACCATATTTAGTCGAGCCATGATTTATTAAGATCGGTGTGCTCGCAGGTTGGTCACTTTAGCCAGTTAGCTCGACAGGCACCTGCTGTGTGAGCTCTCGATCAGGATTACCTTCTGCCGCGCAACGGTAAAGGATTGTGACAGCCTCCTTGAGCAATGGCAGCGGCTCTTCGGGCCAGCCATATTCCTTATAGGCCATGCGGGGTCGAATCTCCGACCTTATTCGATAAATGTTATCCACTGGCAATTCCTTTCTCGGACGACAAGCTCCTCAAGCAGTTGCATTTTCCGCTCGGTTTGACCATTGCGTCGGTAGGCTTCGCAAAGAGTAAGGTCAGGAACGACTACATGCAATAACGTCGTGTTCTTGAGCATGCTGGCAATACGCTAGAGAAGATCTATGCCCTTATGCGTTTCCTTGCTGGCGAGATAGGCTCTAGCAAGCACTTCCTGTGAGTATAACAGGTCGAGGTTTCCTTCTGGCAAGATTCCGTTGCGCCGCACAGCATTCTCGAGGGGGTTGAGCTTCTTCTAGTTGGTTATTGAGTATATAATAATTCGCAAAATGGGACTGTACCCGCAATAGAAATACGGGGTTGTTCGTGGATTCTGCTCTAGATAACATCTCTAAAACATCCTTATATATCAGAATTGCTTTGTCATATTGCTTATCCTCCGAAATAGCTGTAGCAAGGCCGAGCAGAAAGGTTTCATCCGGCTCTTTACTCCCTTCGACTGGGTTCTCAGCGCGGTATCAGGATTGCCATTTTAGTCTTACCGATCAGTAGGTAGGGTGAAGCAAGCCCTGCTTGAGACTTCAGTTGTTCAGTTGTCCTGGATGGTCAGGGTCCTTAATTCTTGAGTTAACATAGAGTATACGTTTGCACTGCTCTAGAGGTTCTTCGTATCTCCCAAAACCAAGCTGCCTTTCTGCAGCTAGGGCATAGAGAGGCAGACACATCTTCTGAGGGCTCTTTGGTCAAGCTCCAGCCTATCAAATAATGAGGTGGCCAGCCTATCAGCTTCAACGTCCATGGACTGTGAGAACAGGAGCATACTACACTAGAAAAGAAATTGGCAGACCATCCAAGTTTCATCCGAGAAACCTTTAGTGACTTAATTGAAGAACGTTGTCGCCGTCGAAGTTGCGAGAGCTGCCTGACATATAGTAGCTGGGACATTCGATTTGTCAATAAGCTTGTAACTCCGGATACCCTTCGTTATGCAATCAACAGCACATATAAAGTTGAGATATGGTTAGAGTAGGGCTCCCCATTGTATAGATGTTGTATGGAATCACGTACACGTGGCATCCTCGCTTTTCACCGCTATCAAGCAATTCATCCTTAGGTATCCCCTTGCTGGAGATTACCTCTTTGATCATCTTCTTGAGCTTATCTAAATCAAATCGCGCCTGAATCTTGCCACTTATGTTCATAGTATTGAAATGTTTCTTTTCGCCAAAGACTTTATAGAAAGTCTACCATAGACGTCAATGCATTTACCCACACCCATTTCGAGCCGCCCAAGCATGATCGCAATAAGCCTAGGATATATGAACAGCTTTAAGTCTTCACAAAGAGAAGAAACTAGACGTTTCCCCCACCAGTGCTGGTTCAAAGCCGCATGGGTTAGGATACTTAACTAGCTACTTTGTGTAACTAGTTAGTTGCTTTTGAAATTTCTCTATAATTAGCCCCACGCGACCAGATTCCATGGACATATCAAGATAGTTGATTTGCAGACAATCTTACCCATCACGACACAGGTCCAGAATAGCCTGCATAACCAAGTGTTGGCGCCAACTAGCAGACCCGATACGCGCTCCTCCTAGCCGACACCATGAGCGTCACAAACACTCCCAAAGTTGTGATGCTCCGTGTTGGCGAACGAACATTTCACACAACTGCTGAGACCTTGACTGAGAGAAGCGACTACTTCAAGGCCTACTTCTCAGGGAAATGGACAATTCCAACCATGGAAGACGGGTCCATCTTTATCGACGCTGACGGCGAGGCGTTTGAACATGTCATTCGGTATCTTCGACGAGGAGTCTTCCCACTGGCATTTGATGCAGCAAAAGGACACAACTATCACCTGTACACGAGTATCCTGGAGGAGGCAATATACTTCCAGTGTCACCGTCTAGTTACTTGGCTCAAGGACCAATGTTATCACAAATGTGTAACCTGGCATACCTCCGTGAAGGAAGTCGAAGGGGAAGTCGAAGGGGAGACAATGGCCGTAATGGGAGATGGAAGTTCCAGGGCTATGTCCATTGTGCGAGCTGCTACCAAAGAAAAGAAAACCTACGTCTGCCCACGTGAAATATTTTCACATTACGGGCAGAAGTGGAAGTGTGGACGTCAGTGTCACAATGCACAGGCTGGCGAAGATATCAAGTATGATGTCGAACATATACCATTATGGCACATACTGAAAACAGAGCATAATTTCAATAATGAGTGGATGACGGACGACGGGTAAGATAGGCTCCTTGGCCCCCAGTTGTGTTCCAGGTGAGACTAACAATCCACATCAAGTGCGGCCTTCGTCAAATATGTGAATGAGAAGGGGATGCATGGACTTCTTTGAACTCCCCACGGCGGATGTTGAAGATTCCTATACGCTACTCCATAGGTTAGGATGGGTTAAGGCGCATGGATAACAAGGCATGATACTGGATTTGATCCCCGAACTCATCGAATAATTTGACGAGGCGTATGCGGTAAGAAGGATGGATAGCTGGAAGGATGGAATATGGTGTGGGGGTAAAAAGAGGTCGGCATTTGACAAATCACTTTATTTTTAGATACTGCCAAAAGGGCATGACCTCACAAGTTTCCTGGTTCAAGAGATATTGGGTATAGAGATTGGAATTGAGCTGGTCCTTAGGCTTGTTCCCCTCTTAGGAGAAAATAAATAAATAAATAAAAAGACGTCGCAGAAGTCAATCCTGGTGCCTGCTGAAATGCTACATGAGAATCTAGTGTAATAAGACCCCATTTACGCAGCAGGTGTCTCATTGCTCAATACGGAGTACCCCTGGCGTATACAGGGCCTTTGCATGGTACGGCCCGCCGATAGCATATTTCGTGTCGTCAACAAGTCGGCTCAGAACTTATTGGGAGCGATATAGAAAGAGGTATCCCGGTGCTGGGAAATCAGGTAATATGGGCATCAATGGCCAGAACAGAGGGCAATGAGAGGGATGATGGAGATACGAATGTTGTTTGACTATGATTTCGTGTTTTGAAGTTGTTTGAAGTCGAAGTCGAGATGGAAGAAGTTCGAGACTGCTTAGTCAGCCACGTACTCACAGCGCGCGCGGATCAGATCGAAGGTTGTTGATAT